CAGGATGGACTTGTTCCATTTGGGCCTAGCGTTTTTCTAACATAACACCACCAGATTTCTCAAGATACCCCCTGGCCCAATCTTTTATTTTTTTGTTTTTTTTTTGTTTTTTTTGTTTTTTTATTAAATATTTTCTTAAATACATAAAATTCTGAAAAAATATAAAATATGACAATTTTGCATTTTGATTATTTTATTTTATTTTCACATAAAAAAATATTTTTATTAAACTATATATTAATTATTTTTCTTAAATAAATTTGTAAATATAATATATTAGAATTAGGTTAACTTTTTTTTTATTCCTTTTTTTTATTCATACTTGTAAATATTTATTGTGACATACAAAAACTAAATATTTTCATAAAATATTATTTATTATTTTTAATACAAAAAACATACAAAAAAATAATACATAAGAACTTTATTTTCTTTTAAACTAGAAATTAGGGTTAACTTTGTTTTTTAAGAATTAATTTTTTTCCTTAAATTTATTAGGTTTAGGTTAAAACTTTTTCATATAAAAAACCAAACAAAATATTCTTTGCATATATATATCATTGCATATTTTATTTAAATATTGTATATTGTTTAGTCCAATATTTGTACAAATTCGATTTGGTTGTAATAGCTTAATTATATTTACATTATTGCAAATCCCCATTCATAATTTGTATTCCCCCCTCCCATAAATATGTTGTAATAGCGTAGTGGTCTTTAAGTTACGCAATTTACCGCTTTTAGATGTCATGCTAGTAATTAGGGTTTGAATGGCAAGATAAAAACAAATCAAATAGAAAACCCTAATCCAAGACAAATTCAAGGCATGAAAATAACACACTTGCACACAAGCATCTCTAGGGTTTCTCTACTTGGTTGCCTTATACAAAAATGGTCATATTAGCATGCGAAGTATCTTGGCAAAACAAACAAATATAAGATCATAGTCTCTCGATGACGCTATTCTAAGTTGCCTTACAAAAATGATCTTAGTCCCTCAAAAAATGCTAAGATACTTTGCAACATTGCTAACCATGGTTATACGATGATCCACGCCCGTCCCGTTTACATCCAAAGATAGGGTTGCTTACCAAATCAATGGTAAGACAACAATGTCAAAGGAATAGAAAATGGACAAGAAATACATTTGAGTAGCTAGATTGCTTATAGTTACTTGCTCTATTTTTTAACAACTATCCTTGTTATTTTCCAAAACAAACACACACATTATAAAATATCTTATAAACATTGAAAACATTTTCAAAAAGACAAACATCTTTGTATACATTCTTACGAATGAGAATCATTACAAAGATTTCCTAAACAATGGCCTCTTTTACAAAATACTTTCAAAACCACACACAACATAATTTCAAACAAAAGCAAGTGATCTAGCAAGTAACTAAGAGCCCATGGAAAACCATGGATGAAAAGGGTGTTAATACCTTCCCTTTTCATAATCTACCCCCCGAACTCAAGAAAACATCTCAAAGGTCTTTCCTGTGCTTTTTCACCTTTCCTTTTGGATAAAAGAAAAGTCGGTGGCGACTCTTGCTAACCGCAACATTTGCGATGAAACGCAAAACCCTCAAGTCAGTTCTCCCACCGTATCACAGAAACCATGAACAAATCTAATTGAAGCCCATAGTCATCGAAGGAAGCCACTCAGAGCCAATCGAACAATAAGGCTTGAGGGCATTCGAAGGAGTCTGGGGGTGAAACATGTCCAGGTTCATTCAAAACCCAAAAGGGGCATGAAATCATCAAAAAAGGCAACATGTTTAAGGCTTTAAATTTTGCCTTCAAAGCCTGATTAATGGCTGTTTCTTGCCATTTTCATTCATCATCACCCCCTATAAATATAGAGCAGAAAGACAGACACAAAAAAAACCATTAGAACAAAAGAAGGACGAAACATTGCCACAGAGACATCTCGCCTATACACGCACGTTGCCTATACAAAAATCACACCAAATTCTCCAAACCTTCACAAAGCTGCCAAATTCGAAAAGCTTTTGCAAACTCCCTCAGATCGAACGAATAACACATTCATTCTCCCGAGACTTCCAGGCAGCCATCCCACGCCCATGAATGCAGATTGAAGCACCTCCGTTTGGTAAAGAGAACTTATAATCTTAAACTCATTCACTCTCTGAGTTAAGCCCATTTTTAATTGCATATTAGCGTTATTATTATTATTTTTGTGTGTGAATGATTTAACGTAATACATGTAAGTTGCAGCGTCCAAATGCCAAAAGACCATTGTTAAAGCCTTCAAATTTGATCGTCATCAAAATCCATGATGTAGGCCATTTCAGGCCAAAACAAACCTAGATTTGAACTCATGAAGTTCGAATTAGGGGGATTTGAATTGTGGGGAAGGGCTTGGGTTCGACACCCAGGTCATACATTTTTTTCTCTAACAATTATATTCCAGATCCCAGACATGCAGGTCTAGCGTGCAAACTATGCACCTTTAAATCACAACCAAGAGATCCTATCTGATCAGATCCAGCGCCCCCGACGTACAGCTCACCATGCACCCTCAAAAGACCCCCCTCACTGGATCCAACTGCAGATTTGGGCTCCTCTCACTTTGGGCCTATGTTTTTAAACACCACCCCTTGCTTACTTGTGTTTCCTGGCCCTTTTCATTGTTTATTTTTGTTCTTTTTTTTTAGTTACTTTTTATCTAACTATAAAAAAAAATCAGATAAAAAAATCATAAAAATAAATTTAGTTCTTTTCTCTTAACTAATTTAATTTTCATAAATAAATTTAATTTAACTTAATCATGTTTTAGTATTTATTTCATAGTTAATTTGTAATTTATTAGACTTAGGTTTTAAATATTAAAATCAAACCACAAAAATACCAAAAAAAAAATTTCTTAATACTTAGGATTTTTTTGGACATTTGATATTCTTTATAAACAATCTCTTATAATTTTTGTTTTCTATTTTTCTTTTATTATTTAAATTCTAGAAATAATGCATAGGTCGCACATTTGATTTGGTAATAGTTAGTTTATCTTTTCGCATTTTTTTCTAAATATTGTAACTGCTCAAGGGATGTAATAGCGTAGCTTTAAAATTCCGCATTTTAAATTCCTGCAAAATTATTAACTGTTTAGATGGATTTTAATTAGGATTGTATGGCAGGAATAATAATCAAATTCTACAAACCTAACACAAATATAAATAACTGAAACAAACGCACTTGCACATGCGCACCTTTAGGGTATTCCCACTTCGGTTACCTTCGGAAAATAGTCACAACTCTCGAAACGTGAGAGATTTTAGTGGCTACCCTCCAGTTTAAAAAGATCATAAGTCCCTCGATGATCCTCTCGACATTGCCTCGGTAAACAATAATCTTAAAACCCTAGGGTAGTTACTCAGGTTTCTTTCCCAGATGCCTTTGTGACTATAAAACGTCCCTTGTTTACAAACTTTTTACACTTACATAAAATAATTTTCAAAAACCTTTTCAAAATGCTTTATCAACACTCTTGAGGACTGATACAAGAGTTATCATAAAGTAAACTGCCTCACTAAGGCATTTCAAAATACTTTTCAAAAACACACAAATACACAAGGTATTTTAAAAATGAGCTAAGCATCTAAGAGCCCGTAGAAAACTACGGATGGAAAGGTGTTATACTGGTTTTTAAATCAGAGCCACCACTATTAGTTTTTATCCTAAGGAAGGGAACTTAACAGAAAACCCTAATTCGCGGACAGAGATTTTAGGTTACAGACTCAATTAGGCGAAAAGAAGGTGTTAGGAACCTTTCGTCTACCTTGTTCACAAGGATATTAGCCCTAGGTTTTAGGTTTGGGGTAAACAGGGTTTTAAATTTTAATTAGCAAGACTCGCCACGATTTTTGATCGTATGCCTACGTATCTTCTTATGAGGAATCAGAGTCCCAAATCGTAGTTCGTATTTTGGTTGGTGTTTTTTTTTATAGAATCACGTATAATTGCTTTCGAATTTATTCTTGAATCTTGTCTGGGTTTTGAAAGGTGAGTGATTGTAGACGCGGTTCACAGTTAAACTTGAAATTAATTCTCCTTAACTCTTTTTCGAAAATATCTTGTAGTTTTTGTTAGGTTAGTGGAAAGATGGTTTATTGTTGGTTAGTTGTTTTGATGTTTTGATTTGATTAAAGAGTGTGATGAGACATTGAGCGGGGGAGTCTGATATAGTCTCCTCCTCACGTGGCCAGATATTGACCACATGTTACTCGTCATGAAGGATGTGGAGAAAGTCCGATATAGTCTTCCTCACCACGTGGCCAGATATTGGCCACATGTCGCTTGCGGGTGAAATACTTGAAATTGAGTGAATTTTAATTATTTGAATAAACCAATAGACGATATGTCGACCGATTTAATTATTCGAAGATGAACATCCCATCTTTGAATTAATTAGTTTAATTTTTTTTTTATAAATGTACACATTTAAAATTATTTGTAAGTAAATATAAATATTCTAAATAAATGATATTCATGTGTTTTTATTTATTTATAGAAAACAAATGAATTGTCATATTTTTTAGTTAAAATCTATACATTGAAAAAAAAATCAAAAGACCACATTGTACCTAATGCTATGTTATCAAAAAATATTTTAGTTAAGAATGAAAATATTGCCTGTTTTAAAACAAGGTACATGGTTAAAACTAAAATCTAACGAATCAAGACTAAGTCACAGGCGATGCCCTCTTCCTACCTACCACCATCTTTCTTTCCTTTTTATTTTATTTAAGATTCAAACTAGCTACGAATTGACACGTAGCAAGGCTAAATAATAATATTTAAGAAAAATAAGAAAATAACAATAACACAGTAAGGCGACCCTTTTTTTCTCTTTCTCTCATCCTTTTTTTCATTACCCTTCTTCTTCTTGTTACTTCTTCTTCTTCTTAAATAACCATAGTTCTTTCAACTCGAGTCCAAGCAATACATAAAAAATTAGCACAGTAGAAATAGGAAACATGAAGGAGACAAGGATTGAGAAGACTCACGAGCCGATCGAAGATGCCGTTCGTGCAGAGGTTGCGTCAAGAGGCCCAGGGCTGATGAAGCGGTGTGTCATGCGCGAGTCTTGCTCACCGGCGGTGTCTACGGAGGAGAGAGGCTGCGGGTGCATCACGGTAGCTGGGCGTAGTAATCGGTTTGCGGTTCTGGCCGGAGCAGATGAAGGGAAGCGTTTGTGGGTATGATGGATCCGACGTGAATGCGGAGGCGGGGGTGGTGACTTCACGCTTTCGATTCCGTTCTTCTTCTTTCTCTCTGAGCTGCGGCAGGTATGGCTTATTTTGGAATCAATGACGAAACTGTCGAGATCGCATATGTGTGGGGCTTGCGGAGCTAGTGGCTGCGATTAAGAGCGGTGGGAGGAGAAGAGGTTGAGACTGATTTCTATTGGCGACAGTTCCGAGGTTATTGTTCTTGTTATTTCTCTTCTGCACAAGAAACAAACAAACACACAAATTTTCCAGATTTTTTATTTGAATCTTTTCTTCATGTTTTTGAGTGAAACTATGTTGTGGTTTGAATGGTGTTACGTTTTTACAGGTTGAAATTAATGGTTTGTATTTGTAGTGAAAGGGAGAAGATGACGATAAGAATTGTCACTGAACATGTAGTGTAAAAAGGTGCGAAACATTGTTAGAGCGTGAATATTTTAATGGAAGTCTGTGAAAATGGAAATCCTTAGTGTGAAAAATATGATAATTTTTATAGAAAAGGGGATTATCACTTGGTCAAAATAAGTTCAAAAACTAAGAAAATTACTAACAAGAGTTTATTGTGAATGTGAATTTGATTTCTAAAAATTGTTAGTAGGAGAATACAATTTAAAAAATAAATAAACTAAGCAGATCATCATATGATAAAATAAAGCAACAACAAAATAAATAGGAAGGGGCCTCATAGATTAATAATTGGCCAAGATAGCAAAATATCACTAATAGTTTGAAAATAAATTTTGAAAAGAAAGTGTGTGAAAGTGTGTATTTGTGGATATTGTGGATGAATTGTTGATGTGTAGTGCAATTGTGAATATAATATGATAAATAAATAAATACGAAAATTATAATTTAATAATAAAAAATATGTTTTTTGTGTTTAGAAAATAAAGTTAGTAACAATAAATAGCAAAAATATCCAAAGAAGTGAGATTTGAACTTGTGACCTTCTGCTTGACAATCTTTCTTCCTTACCAACTGTGCTATGTTACTTATTCGAAAGTAAAAAGACAATTGAGAGTATATGACAGCGAACAATTATTCGTTATTTTTACAAATAATTATTATATTTTCAAATAGACTTGAAAGCAATTTTTTATTAAAAAAACTTCATAATGTTAATATAATTAAATCAAATGAATTTTATATCTATAACACCCAAATTCGAAAGTAAATTTGACGGTAGCACTAAGGCGGGCAAATTTTGGGTATGACAAAAGGGTACTAACACCTTCTCTTTCCATAATATACCCCCTTACTCAGAAATAATCTCGAAAGATCTTTTTCTGTTCTTTTCACCCCTTCCTTTGTTAGATAAAAGAAAAGTCGGTGGCGACTCTTGCTTACCTCAACATTTGTAAACACAAACACAAAACCAGTATAACAGTCGGTTCTGCCACCGTATCACAATGGACATTCTTCAAGAATTTCAGCAGAGCTAGGGCATGTGCTTCGGATCCTAACAACAAGGACAATATGTATATTTTTGAGGGTGTCTGCTCCAGTTGTTCCACTATTTTGTAATCACTTTTTCGAATTATCTTCAGAATTTCTTCCATCTCTTGTCTAGATGGGTCTTCAATTATCACTTCTCTTGAGGGTACCTCTGTCAGGGCAGGCTTAACATCTTTCTCTTTACCTCGGGTATCAGTAGTTGACCTAGTAGCAGGAATACGAACATGTGTTGTAGTAGTTGTTGGAGGAGAGATCTTCGGGGAGAAGACCCTTCCTGTCCTTGTTACTTTACTAGTTCCATCAATGTTGGTGATTTCAAATCCTTCACTTCCAACAATCCATGGCTCTTGCTTGACACCATGATAATAAACTTCTGCCCATAGTTCTAGGGCACTACTTTGTCAGAGGTATAGGGGACTAGCCCAATGTAGTAAGGATCAAGGGAGCTAATATTCACTCAGTAGTAATCCTTATAGGGTCAATAATGGAGTAGTCAAATCATCGATGGAGGAGACAAATGAGAAATCCCCAATGGCATTGAAGCCTTTACCATGATTAGGCATGAGAACAGTAATGACATTAGGGGTTTGTGGAGGGTCAAACTCAATCACCTTGTTATCAATCAAATCTTGGATCTTGCTCTTTAAGGCCTCACAATCATTGGTATCGTGCCCAACACTATTGGAATGATAGACACACTTTAAATTCGGGTTGTATTTCAGAGATGAAGTATTAGGGTTTTGAGGAGGATTCCTCAGTGTTACTAAATCTGCCTTTAACAGATGTTGTAAAGCTTGAGATAGTAACATATTGATTCTAATAAATTTCCTCCTCGGTGTATCAGACCTTTGTTGATTGTTTGATTGTTGTGGTCGTTGAACTGGGGTCGGGTTTGAAATCAATAGAGCTCCTACCGACTGGTGATGATCATTCTTGACACGACTCCTTTGTCCATAAACAACATTAGTCTATTTCTTACTAACAAATGGTTTCTTTACAGTAGTAAAAGTTGAGGCCATGTAGATCTTTTCGCTTTTAATTCCACTTTCAACTTGTTCACCCATCATAATCAACTCAGTAAACCTTGACGAAGAACTCACAATTAGCAAGTTAAAGAATGGACCAGCCAAGATACACATAAACTTTTCCACTAATTCTCTGCCAGTCAATAGGGGTTGCACCCTTCCAGCCAGGTCCCTCCACTTTTGAGAACACTCTTTGAAGCCTTCACTTGAACCCATAGTCATATTCTACAACTTCACGCGAGTTAGTGCAAGATCAGTGTTATATTGGTATTGCTTGTAGAAGGCAGTAACTAGATCCTCCCATGTGTGGATATTAGTCCCCTCAAGTTGATAGAAACATTCTAATTGTGTCCCAGATAAGCTTTCTTGGAAGAAGTGCACCCATAACTTCCTATCGACGGTGTGTGGTTGAATCTTGCGGACATAAGACCTCAGATGCATCTTTGGACAGGAGACCCCATCATATTTGGCAAAGACAGGAACCTTGAATTTGTGGGGAATGACCACCCCAGGGACCAGACCTAAGTCTCTAAAGTCCAAACCAGACACTGTTTGGATCTCCACAGCCTTCAGTCGGTCTTCTAGATGTTTGTATTTCTCATCCATCTGTGGATATTTCTCTTCGGAATAATCTTTGTCCTCAGTAATATGGTCATTTCCACCCCAGCTAGTGCTTCTAACCTCCTCTTCTTGATTGTCTTCGTCCTCAGAAGAAGCCTCTTCTATTTGAGCCAGTCGTGCAGGCCCCTTGAACCTTCTTCCCATGTTGAGAATAACAGCCCTCTTCTTGGTCTTCTTCTTGGTGGCAAGGAGTGCCATCATTTCATGCTGACCATTGGCTAGGTTGAGGAGAGTATCTTGGAACTGTGCATGTTGAGTCTGTAGATCTTTGACGGTTTTCTCTAGAGCCATCTTATACCGAAATAAATAGTAAAAAGATAAGGAAACCTATGTCGAGAAACCTGCTTATGATATGATGCATGCTATGCGGATGCAATGTTTTCAATGACCTTAAGGAATTTAAATTTTCTAGCCAAAAAGGAAACAAATGCAACAATTGTATTAATAGAGTTCCAATATTACAATTGCCCATTGGGCTTACAATGAAAAAGCAAAAAAGTCTCAAAGAGACAACAAAATGAAATCCTAAAACAAAATAACTTAGGTCTCCCATGGGCGCTTCCTCTTTGGTACAATGTAGGCATTCAAGTTTTACTCCTCGTGAAGTTTCCTTGTAAGCTCCAACACTTTCTTCTCGCTTGCATAGAATTGAGATTCAAAGGTGTCTCGTTCCCTCTTGAGTTGAATCTATGATCTCTGCAATTCTTCGAAGTTGGTAGGCATGTCAGGATGAAGAATGGTATAAGGAACATCCCCTTCGGTAACGGGTTCTACAACTATTAGTAGAATAGCGGGATATGGCATCATGAGACTTTAAGCACGAGCTCGTACCCATTTGAGATAAGGCTCAAGAGGGATGGAATTATTATGCCCTAAAGTATTTCTATCAACTTTTCTTACCATTCCCCAAGCATGCACAAACCTTCGATGATAACCTTGAACATCGTTCTCATAGTCGAATACAAATCCTTGAATGAGTGCGTCATAGAGACCATCTTTTCGAGCATAGCCAAATTGTTGTAGAGCTAGAGAAGGGTTATAAGTAATACCTCCCCTAATTCCAAAGAGTGGAACATTAGGGAACTCCCCACAACGGTAAATGATAGTAATGTCTTCTTGAGAATGAGAGCACCAATGGATATTTGTATGAGAAAGCGACATTATCCTTTGCGACCACCTCAAACCTTGCTCATTTTTTAATACTGATCGGGGAAGGTGTGAAATAAACCACCTAGACAGCAACGTAATGCAACACATAAGATCCCCTCTCTTCCTTATGGTGTGAGTGTGAAGACAATGTAGAATGTCTCCAAGCAAAGTAGGCACAAGATTACGAGTAAGGAAAATTTTGACAGCATTCACATCTATGAGTTGGTCAGGGTTAGGAAAAAGCACCAACCCATAGATTAGAAGAGCCAAGATCTCCTCAAAATCTTGTAAATCCATGGCATCCAAAAACATTTGGGCCTTCTCCATCAGGATTTTAGCTAAAAAGCCTTTGACCCCACTTCTTGTCTCCCAATTGGCTATAATGTCAGAACTCTTCAAATGTAAGGCCTTGGCAAATACTTCAGGTCTTGGAGTTTCCTCTAAACCGGTGAATGGTATTTGATCAAGGACTGGTAACCCAAATAGTTGGGAGAAATATTCTATTGTGGGCACTAGTTGATAGTTGGGAAAGGTGAAACAATGATGTACAGGGTCAAAGAATAGAAAGAGCACCCTCATCATGTCTTCTTCAAAGCTTGAGGTAGCCAGATTGAGAAGTCGACCATATCTTTTGGTGAACGGAGAATTTTCAGGAACTCTTGATGCTAACTCTTTGAGTTGAGGAGGCGCCCTTACGAAGTTGATTCAGATGATATTTCTGCG